AATGGAAGTAGCATCAATGTTTATCAGTGATAGAAATAGGACTTAAAGAAGAAAGCCATAACAATAAACAGCAGTTGACGTTAGTTTTGTTATAACTTGCTTATTAACTTATCAACTCCACAGCACATAATGAACCACTCAAGGTCCTTCAGGCAGCAAAGGCCGATGTACTTCTGATCATGAATGCCAGTCATCAAGAGTCTGCATTTCAGTCTACTGCCAGGGTTTATGGGACACAGTATTATGTGACCAAGAACAACAATTCTTTCACAGAGAGTGTGATTGGCCTGCAGCGTGCTAATTCTGCTGATGTATGGCATGTTTCACAGCAGAACTGTCCTTGTTGATATAATTGGTCATGTGTCATCACAGGTGAAACAGGAATTACTGAATATGATAATAGAGAACAGGAGTAGGATCAAAGTATTGGCTCATGAGTCAACCAGTGTTGTTTCTGAATTCTAGTGTTGATGACGACATGGAGCTCATTGCTTTTACGTCGCAGCTGATTAAGCTGGATAGTCTGTGGGCTGTGCATATCAGGGAATAGCTTGTGGGTTACTTGTTTAAGAATGGCTTCGCCACTGAGTTACTGCAGGAAGTCTTCATTGGATTAAGCAGAGATGGGGCCAGTGAAATGCTGGGAGTAAAGTCAGGTGTTGTGAAGTTGCTCCAGGTTGACTTCCCAGGCATTGTACTGTGGCACTGCTTTACAATGTGACAGCTGGAACAAAAGACTTCTAGGCCTTCCTTGACAGCCTATGTTCATCATACAGCGAGTCACAAAAATACATCCAGGAACTGAGTGAATGTGCTCACAACCTACACATCCCCCTCAGGAGGATTGGCAGCTGTGTTCGCTGGGTAGCTCCTTCATGCAGGGCACTGTTGTTATCCGGGATGATACAAGGGACAGCAGAGAGAGGGCCAAATTCCGAGTGCTGCGTTTTAACTTATGCTCCCTCAATTTCCTGAAATGTCTTTGGAATATTGACAGTTGTTCTGACCGAAGTCAAGAACTTGTCAGAAATTCTTCTCAGAACAGGAAGCTCTGACTCCCAAAAGGGAGATGACATCATGACAATGTATGTCAAACGCATTGAAAGCCTCAGGAGGCACCCAGGAGGAGGTGATGGGATTCGATGGAGAGATGTTGAGAGATGGCTTTGAGTCCCATTATTAACACTGCTCAGTTCATCCAAGCAATGGCGGGTAATATGAAAGACCCTTTACTACCTCCACTTAAGAGCGGCTTACAATAGTCATCAATAAAATGGCAACCTCAACCCTGACAATTTGGAGATGAGGTGAGGGCTTTGTCTTCGGTCCTACATCTGGATTAGAAGAAGCCCACCTTGGATTTACTAAATACAAGACAATAGGAGAAAGAAGCATTCCTGAAAAGGTGAAAAAGATTATGGCAGTGGACACACTGTCCGCAAGCAATGCTGATTGTGAGTTCCGGGCAATGAACAATATTCTAATTGAGTATAGGAGCAAACGGAGAACAGCTTAATCAGCTCTCTGTGACCATCATGCATACAATGGGATCCACTGCTTTATGTGAGGACAAAGAAAGAAGAGCAGCCAACTCAACAAGTAGCCTGGCTACTTCAGGCCTCTGTGGAAAAAAAAAAAGTTTTACGTGTTTTGCTCTGATGGAAAAATAATGCTTAGAAGTTATCATAAAAAATGTTGCCATTGTACATGTCTTCAAGGCACGGGATACGCTGAATGTTTCTGAACCCAATAATATTTTTCATACACGTTTCATATCAGCTTCATATCACGCCTGCCGAAATGTACAATTTCCTGGCGACTGTACATAGAGCAGAGCAACTCAAAACAGATTGACTTCAAAATGTAATTTAGCTGTATCAAGATTGTTGCCAAAAGGAACAAAAAGAGGTGCAGTAAAGGCAATAATACAATAGAAATTTCATATACAGTAAACTGCACGAAGCAAATTATGCAGGAGTTCAAAAGCATAAAACATTCATAGGTTTCCTAGGGAGCGAGTAAAGCGCCACCGCTGGCTTAATTACTAGTCGCTAGCTGAAAGGGGCTGTGATTTAAAATTCTGTGGAGAGCACATTTACCACAGAGAATACAATGGTGGGATAAAAACAGCCTGCTTCAGTCACTGTACACTCCACAGTCTACCAACACACACCAAAAAAAACGGTAAGGAAATGGGAAATGGGTCATGCCACCCCTCATACTGTAAATGTGCTTCAGTTACCGCCAAGTCTTTAAAGATGATAATTATTTCATTGTAACTTCAGGATCCCAGGAAGCGCATCTGTGCCGCGTTCCAACTCAATAAAGTCTGCAGGCAAAACGCTCCGCTTCTGAAACCCTGAGGATGTGCTATAACAATGTCAGTTACCCAGAAACCATTTCCTTATGAGTTAAAACACTTGAAAGTCCATTATATCAGGTACCCATTCTCCTATGTGGAGGACACAACTCTCCAGTCCTACATAAATGTATCTGTTGTTCAGCCCTTTAGAGTACATCAGCCATCATTCCCACATTAAAACCATTGCGTAGCTACGTATTTAAACTTAAATTCCAACCATGAATCACAAATGAATGAAGTTATTTTCTGCATCAATAGAAAATTTAAAAAAAAACTGACTAAGCTGGAGATTTATAAAAAATCTGCCATACTGCAGATACTTATCGCATAAACCTTGAAAATATTGTGCATTCTGTGAAAAACAAATGAAACAGCTGATCAGTATCAAGTGATTACCAAAGAGAGTTTAAACTGGCCATGTTGGTATGGAAGAAAATGTATCGTTCCAAATAATTAAGCGGCTTCTATACTGTGTGCCGGATGAGCTTAGCTGTATGTTTGGTCAGGTTTAGCTTCTTATCACACTTCTGCTGGCTGCTGCCGTGATCCTCAACAGAAAGTGATCAGCGTTTCAGGGCTTTGAGGAGACTTGAACTGTATCTCAGAGCTACACAGTTGCAAGCCATCTTGATCCAGTAACACCTACTCATGATCTAATCTAAGAGAAATCTGTTGCCAGTTTGTCGTTGAACATGTTGAGTCTTTGTGTCATCCAAAAAAAAGATCAAAAACTCTCGACAGCACAATCTGTGCTTCTAAGGTTGTGTTAGATACCTGCAGGAGTATTTATACAAACTGTTAAATGATGGAGGTGTTCATTCAGAGACAGCGAATAAGTCAATTCAAAACAGACTGGAAGGTTTTAGCAGATAAAGTATCTGAGAAAGAAAGTCCAAAACAAAGAGAGAAAGCCACATGCAGCTTTTCGAGCAATATTATTCAAACATGTTCCCACCTTTCACAATGCAGACTGTTCGCTGTAGTTTCTCATACAAGATATCAATCCACACAAGAAGATTCGATGCAAGTCTAAAACTAACGAAATTAAATCACTAAAGCTCTCGCAAATTTGATTTAATACTTCAACAAATGTATAGCATGCCCTTTGTAACAGGTAGAATAGAGCAGTGGTCCTGGTACGAGAAACTGACAAATTATATGCTGTTTTTTGGATTTGGAGCTAGTCGTGGTTAAACACTGTGTTATAAAAAGTTACGTTTCTAAATAAAAACTTGTGGAGCTAACATTAGCAGAGTACGTTAGCACAACATTAACTAGCATTAGCGCTATAATGCTACGCTAGCTACTGAAGGTATACTGAATCAATGCATATGCTGCTTTTGCTTTTAAATGATCGTAACAGTGATTAAAGACCTACCCGGCTTTACAGGAACAGTGTTGTTCCTTAACTTGTCTTCTGTCTGGATCTCCAGGTGATGAGGTGGTTCACTTTGACACCGTGATCTGTAGCTTTAGCTTCTATCTTTATTAGTTTAACCTGTTTTCTCTGCTGAATCGATGCATCCTTTAAACACATATTGTTGACCCTTCTGTCTGCTTCTCTTTGAAATCACTTCTTTTTTACCCCCAAAAATTTGGAGTGCAGTTATTGACAGTGTGGTCTCCATGGTGGCTCGGACAGTAGGCTCGGCGTAGCAGCGAGGGGCGGGGCTTAGCGAAGGGTCAATTGACCAAGGTGAGCCTAAGTGAGTGTGTGGGGGGATTGATTGAGTTCAACTGTTGGTATTATCTAGTACAGACGTGATACTTAGAAATACATTGGCAATACTTTGTCTGTTATGATTTCATCTTGTGTTCAAGGAGTCAGTAACTCCAAACAGACAGCTGAGAATACCGCAACTTAAAGACAGATATATTTATGAGCGTTTAAAAAACAAACACAGACATACAGCCCAGTTTCTCCGCTGCAGAACTAGGACATTGCCCACATATGCATTAAAGGATTTCAACACAGTAACGTTTTCAAAACAAGAACACTTTCAGTTGAGGAGCTTTCAGCACGATATCAAAAGTGGGACAGAATCGAAGAGGACGCTCAACCAAAACCAAAATAACTACGGTATATGGGTGGCTGCAAAAATATGATAAAGGGATTGCTGTAGTTTTTCCTCTAAATGTCAGCAAATGTCATCATCATGCATCATGGCAGCACAAAACTTCAACTCAACCTTGACACTGAGCCAAAGCCACCGATCCGTTTCCACCAAAATGACAGATCCAGGAAATATATTGAGTCGACGAAGTCTAGCACAGCTTTTTTTTTTCCTCCATCACCACAGTCCAGCACACCGTCCCAAAATCTCATCCCAGTCATGCATATAGATCAGCTCCTGCTGCTATGGCAACAGAGACCCCGCTTTTGCCCGGCCAGGCTAGTTTGGCTGGAATTGGTCATAACTATAAAAAAAAAAACTTCACATGCCAATGCTTTTCACACTGCAATGCCACTGGGCACTGTCAAGAGCTTCAGTGCGTAAGCCGCCGTCAGCTAGGACCTGTCAAAGCACTGGACTATTAGAAACCTCAGTAGAATTAAATAGGAGTCAAATTGACAGCTGATCGACACTACAATGTGAAGGGTTTTTCCTCTTGGAGGGAAGAGTGTGAATGAACTCACCTCTACTTTAATGAGTGAACTGAACTCCAGAGAGAGGAAGGGAGGGGCGTCCTGCCCGTTGGAGGACAGGCTGGATGGAGCGTCAGCTGAGCCTCCAGCTTCTGGATGCTCCTCAATTCAAGTAAGAATAGTTCTTCAGATGAATCAACAATGTCTCTTTTTAAATATTGAGTCTTCTGCTATCTTGTTGGTGGTGTACACGGTGCGTCTTGCGGTCCAATTGGATCTGGTTTCTTTTGTCCACTCGAGCAGGCAAACAGAGCAGCAAGTGGTTCTTTCCCCACAGGCCAAAGCAAGAAATCTCAGATGTAGAACTAAAGGAGAGAAGGAGAAAAGAGAGAGAAGGAGGCTTCAATACAACTTTGAATTACTCTTGAGTCAGAGAAACATGCAGGTAGGAGAGAGAGATACAGATCAAATCAATGCACGGTGTAAATCAACCAGACAGCTTTGATTAGGTGCAACTGCCAAGTGCCCTCATGCTGATTGAAAAATCCTGTTTGGTCAAATACTTCGTCATATTAATGAGCAATTTTCCCATCAGATTAAAACCAGATTGTGTCTGATTATGTATGCAGGTACCATATCTGTGTTTGAGCAGGAAACTGAGCCCCATCTTAAGCAGAAACAGATTTTAAGATGGTTGAGGCCAACACCGATGACAATTGTTGAATTGTTATTTCCACCAACATGAACAGAGTTTTTCAGTCACACGCTCTTTTTTCTACCTTACATAACTCCCTGAGCAGTTACTGTAGCGGTATCAGACGCTGAGGGTCGTGACAAAGCGTTGGTATTTGATGTCCGGTGAATGAGAGTTCCTTAATAGCAGAGACTGGTCCAGACTGAACTGCACTTGGTCCAACTTGGTGTCATCTCTTTAGATGCAAAAATGATAGCTATAATCAGTCCATCTCATGTATAATATGCCCCAAACCTTTAGCTCATAGCCCTGAGGAACATGCGTCTCATGTCTAATCACGTATGGAACTAATAGAATGGGATAACCACCAGCTCATTTTACAAAAATACACACCCAACACTCACATACATCTGCTGGGCAAAGACAAAAGAAATGCACTTTGCCCACTCAAATATCAGAGCACATTGACACGGGTCAGCGCCAACTTGTTTGGTATGAAAGAGGCGGGGCCACTGCAGCATTTGAGAGATATTAAGTGGTATCTAAAGGCAAACAGAGCAGAATTTCTATGTTTCTCCATCTTGGTGTGAATCTTGTCTTTAAGTAAAGGTTAGGCGAGACAGGGACATAGGGCGCCTGTGAAGAAAGGAAGGCATCAGAGGCAGGATCATCTGGGCAGATGGAGAGAATAATGATGTTAAATGTCAGAGACCGGAGGTGACTGACTGTAACCTCACGAAGATGCTAGTAGGAGTATGTGTTTGCAGTTCGTGAAACAGTCACAAAATGCAATCTATTGGTCACTTGACACGAATTGTAGATTCATATTTTGATGCTCGACACAACTTCTTTTTCAGGACACTACAAAGCGTCTGGTAGTATCAATATATGTCATGCATATAGTGTTATTATGTTATAGCCACATGTCACACCCGCAAACAACACACATCTCTAGGGATCTAATGGCTCCACCATTATGGGGACATGCCTGTCAACAAGCCCTATTTCAAGAAATGATCAACATGTTAAGACAACATTTAGTTGAGCCAAGATTGGAGCTACAGCCACATATCTCACCATATCAGGTCGTATTTAGTTGAGCCAAAAGGTGCACGCATACACGCAGATGCACACAATCACAAAAAAGGTTATGAAAGGCGTGATGGACACCACAGCTGTAGCCTCTCTCTGCAAATAAACCGCTCCTCACATGTTCAAGTCTCTACTCGATCTCATCTCTTGTCGACTCTTGAATTTACATCAACATCTGCCACTACAAGCGTAGGTTAGGAAACAACATGAAAGTTAAGTTTAGGCAACAAAAACCCCTTAATTAAGAACCCATCCAGCTCCCCTTCCGCCCACCATAAGTGGTCCTTCTCGGTATTTAACACTACGTAACTAAATCTGACCGTTGCATAGTCACGTGCATGCGCTTCATTTGTTTGTCCACCACAAAAAAGAATCCTAAATGACTTTCCAATGGCATTTTATTTTGTGCTGAGCAAATAAATAAATAAAAAAGGACAATTCGTGTTCCTGTACACGAAACCACAGATTGCGTTGCATGACTATTTTAACAACCTGCCGTGATATTGGGCCGTGATATTGGGCTGGGAGGTGATACAAACAAGAATATCAAAGCACAGGGCGGAAGGGGGGAAAGAAAAGAAAATGATGTGTGTTTGCATGATGAAGGGGAACAAAGGACTCCATGTCCTTGGTTTAACTGAAAACAGAATAAATGTTATTAAAAATAAGACCAACAAACAAAGTTTCACCAAAGGCTATGACTCTATACAGGAAGTGAAATTAAAAGAAGCCATTCAGAAATGAGTGACAGACAGAGAGTGTGGGGGGGAGAACCAGGCTAGCTTTTTCTAAACTACAGCAGAGACCAAAGAGACAGCGACAGTGTAGATTCAGGCCAAAAAAAATAAAAAGGGTGAAAATGATGTTTTGATCCACTGCAGCACCCAACAGTAAGCCTGAGGCCATAATCCATCAACGGACAGAAAGAGCAGACAAGAAATGGCGAGAAGAAAGGAAAGGAGGTTAGTGGTGAAGGACGAGGAGGAAAACGTAAACTGAGTCTGGGGACGGATGGAGAGAATTTAGAAGTGAGGACGGCCCATTAGACGGACTGAAATGAAGAAGGAACCACAAGGGGAACTGAAGTTGTTGTTAGCGGCACCCGGCAACCAAATGTTGGAAAAATGTGTCTTAATGAGAGAATGCCAGCGGTATTTAACAATTTAGAATTTACAGTTTTATACAATTGCCTTTCTCTTGTTCACCGTCAGCAAATCAAATCAAAGCAAACAGTGGATCTCTCTTTTTCTTTTCACACGCTTGTAATTGGTTGTTCCGTGGCTTCGTGTGGTCACATCCAAACTTCTGAAAACAGCGCAGTGGTCTATGTGAGGCTGTTACAGAGTTTGCAGCTTGAGGAAAAGTCATGCACTGTAATTCATATGTTAAATCTTCTTCTTGGCCATTTCTGCAGTAATTAGCCTGAAGGTCTTCACCTCAACACCTCCTGTTACGTAAACAACAACAGCGTAGTGATTTTGAACTAAAAGCAGGTTCATCAGAATGTGACGTAGCCAATTCTGACAAAACCAACGTTCACCATACAGCAGCCATTTTCTTAAGCCAATAGCCATCAATACATCTCTGCTTGTTCAATGTGAGGTCAGTGTTCTTTGTGCATTGTCCCTGTTCTAATGAAAAAACACCAATACATCTGTGTTTGGCCACTTCTCGAATGCTGAAAGTTTTTTTGAATGTTCATTTGTTGTTTTTCTGCTCACCCGCTCGCTCCCCCTAACTCTGTGCGACGGGTCTGGAGGATAATAGAGGAGAAGAGATATTTGTGAACTGAAAACACACTAATGGAAGACCTTGTTCTAAAGTTATCTTCTGCTCTGCATACTGATGAGGTTTGGAGAACAATTATTCTCTGCAAATCCTGCTATTAATCCCTCAGTGAACAGTAAAACTTTGTGTGCGTACAACTACAGTAGGTCAAAGTTTAACCGTACACCGGGTCCGTGCACATTAATGGATGTTCGGAATGAACTCTGGGGGTAATAATCTAACTATTAACCCTCATTTCCCAAATACATTTGGCTAGATTGAAGGGTTGTTTGCAACCCGGATGATCTGACGACTAGTTTTGCTGCCCCATCAAAGATCTCAGCAGCTAACTCAGTGAGTATGTTAGTATCACCAGCAGGTTATTGGCCAAAGATTCATGGCAGTAAACCAGAATTATACTCTAAGCTCGCCCCACTCCCTTGAGTTCACTTATTACAGAGAATAAAATGAAGCCTAGAGTGGTGAAGACACTAGAAGGAAGGATGCTGGAGGAGGAGGAGGAGGAGGAGGAGGAGGAAAAGAAGGGGAGGAAGAGGGAGAAGGAGGACTGAGAGAGCTGAAACAGCTGGTAGGGTGGAGATTTGTGAGCGGAGGAGGTAGACGGACTGAAAAAATGAGGCGGAAGACAAACTCATTGGAGGAGACTCCAAAGGTGAAGGAGGATCAAACATAGATCCACAAAGGGAGGAGGGCGGGGGAGGGGGAGGGGACTGCATGTTTCCCATTAGTCTGTTGTGCCTGGCAACCATACAGCCTCTTTCTCTCCCTTCTTTCTACTTTGTCTCTCACTGCAAGCCATATCGTATCTCTTTAATGCACATCCTGACTGCTTTCTTCTCCTCCCCGCTGTCCCCGAACTATCTCTCCCACTCCTTCATCTGCGCCCGAGTCGAGCGCCTTTTCTCTCATCTCTCTCCGTAGTCTCACGACTTCTATTCCTCCTAATGACCATTTCATCTTCATCTCACCCTGTCCTCTCCGTCCCGCCTCTCCCGTTCTCTCTGACAAAGTCCTCCCTCTCTCCTCCCCCCCTCCCCTGCTGGTACCATGCAATGTCTTTTTCTGAGTGGGTGTAGTGGTCCACATTCGGATGACCGCCGCACAGCCTGAACCCAGGGTTACTGCCTCTATCCCCCCCCCCGGTGCACCACTCTAACTCGCCTGTTTAAAAAAACTCCCAACAGCCCCGTGCTAGCTGACTGTTTTTTTGTCAATTGGGGACAAAGTCGCACCCACATCCGGATTAACAAGAGCGCACATAAATTCACATGCAGACGCAACACTGCCCTCATCTTTCTTCCGACACCCAACGTCGATGACTCAAACAAACACGCTCACTTAAACAAACATTATGTGGAAAAAATCGTGGAAAGACACTTAACCTCGCCAATGGCTTCAGTGGAAGTGGCCACTTGTCATTAGCGAATGAGTAAGCATACTTAGTCAGACCCGTCTGAAACGCTATACCATGCAACACCAATCCTCAGTTCACACCAGAAGCAACACATCAGCTGCAGCGCTAAAGCAGCATCCAGCCATCCAATCGACAGCAACCGTTACCGCTTTCCCCCAAAACACCAGCTGTCCTTCCAGCAGCTCCTGAGATGTTGAAAGAACGATGGTTGAGCAAATGACTAATATCAGTAAGACAATGAGTCAGTTGGATGGAGGGAAAAGGGGCAAATACTCTGTGGGGTCTGTGGCATATCTTTCTGTGACATTTTAAATGAAAAAAAAAACATTTAATTCTGAATTCAAGCTTTAATTTCAAGGTTGTCACATCCATGCTGG